TTGCATGTGATATTTGAAATATTTAGTAAACAATTAAAAATATATGATTTTTATAATATAGTAGTAATCGCCGAAAGTTGTAAGAAATAATCAAACATAGCAGACGACAGACTCGATTTCATTGAATAATCGGTTTCCTATAACATAGGAATCATAAGAAAATAATCGTTGCATTTATATGTCGATGTATCGATATTTATATGTACTGAAATCACGGTTCTTGTATTCTATGTAGGTTATGTACTAGCCCTGTTGCATTTGAAAGTTTTAATATACCGCGAAAATTAAATTCCAAATTACAGGCACAATATCAGGCTTCTCTTAATTCACTCCAAGGACGGACAAGCCAATGTAAATGTGTAGGTAGAACAAAATGTAGACACAACGTTTAAATTACAACTTACATCTATCATTCTCAAAAAAAATTTCAGGTGTTGCCATAAGAAAAATATTTTTTCTACCGTAGTTTTAAACAGTGCTGTTTATATGACTATTCTTAACCAAAAAAATGGATTTCATTATAGTATAATATCAATTATTAGCAGATCTACTTTAATTAATAAATAGACATTATAAATAAGTGTCGCAAACATTGCATTGTACATCATTCAGGTATCAATTATTGCGATGACATTCAATATTGGTTCCATAATATTAATCGAAAAAAAAAAGTAAAAAAATCAACAATGGCGGAATAGTGTTCTAAAATACATAATTGTATTATTAATGCAATAAAAAGTGAATAATATAAACATATAGATTAACACAACCGCGAGTGAACATGCACTATCAGACTGTATTTTAGATTAAAGAGAAAAAAAAGTTATAATAAAGTTACCTACATTGTTTATGGTACCTACATTACATAACTACGGTATATTTGAACATATATTTTCAATTTGTAACATTATGGTTTTAATTTAATTCACTATTGCGAGTTAACATTTCTATGACACATGTTTTTAGCTTAATAATATTATGTTAAAGATTATATACCTTTCTCTTTCGTTGCACCATCCACATACGATGTGCGACAAAGACAAAAACTCAAACAATTGACACGCAAAAGAGGCACAATTTAACAACATAGGTAATCCTGATTTACGCTTATATATTATACAATTATTTGTTATAAATAAAAATACAAAAATTGGTAATTATTTTCACTGAACTTATAAAAGAATAATTAAATAAACTGTTACATGTCCAGATAAAAACTTAGTATTTGGCTAAGGTAAGTCCTCAATGATAGCGATAAAACAAAATGTTAATTCAAAACAAGCATAGACAACAGCGAAATTCTCCCTCCAATAAAAAAAATACTGTGAAGCATAATAGACTATTACAATGTTCCACTATCTCTTTACATTGCCCTGCAAGTCAGAAGCTTAGACCCTGTGACAAAACTTAGCGTCAAAGATAAAACTCTAGACTTTTTAAGACCTAACTCTACGCCTAAGTCTATTTAACTTAGTGTAATTGAAGATTCAGGTACATAGTCGGCGTTATTTATTTAATTTTAAATTTTAAACTGAGTTTATACTTTGTATAATATAATATTTACAGCGGCGTGTGTTTTAAAAAGTCAACGTGCAAAGAAAATCTTTTCCTGTGTAAAAGATTCGTGATTTCGTGTAAAAATAGAAAAAGAATCCTATTACATTATATAACAATTGGTCGACTTATTAAAACACATTGCCATCAATACTTAATTATATAAATTGTAACTAGGTGCAATATTTAATTCAAATACGGGAGAAACTAAAATACTTCACGTGCTTTGTACCTAATATCCGTATTTGCGCAAGTAGGTAAAAAAAAACAAAATTAAAAAAATACGATAGTAAGGTACTATGATGACTGGACCAACATTGATTTAAGATATTTTAAGACGAAAGTTTGTTTTGAAATACTATTTTTATTTAATTTAAATTTTAACTTTAGCAAATATAATAATTTGTACAAAATATCCTTAATCGCAATCTGCTCTAATTATACAACGGATATTGCAAAACAATGAAACAATTTTTATTAAATGTAAATGTACATTGTTTAAAGCAATTAAACCATATGCATTTATATTTACACCATATGTATTTATATTTATTAAGTTAAATATAAATACATACATTGTTTAAAACGATTAAACTATATGCATTTATATTTAATAAAAATTGTTTCACTGTGTTTAATTTATTGCATAAATATTTGTTTATTATATATATGTTAAACTAAAATTTCGAAAACCATAATAAGATTTTTGCAATAAAAGATTGTATGAGGTCTTTAGAACGTACCATAGACAGTTTTTTTTACTTTTTTGCGTTATTTTTATTTACTTAATTTTTTTTTTATCTCGTTAAATATTTATATTACTTTATTATGATACAGTACAGTGTCTGCTGAAGAAATAATCGTGTACTTTAAAAATTATTGATATGTCAACTCAGATTAAACACGATAAAATTACAGTGTTATATTGTTGTTGGACAATTCACACAGCGTCATCTAGTCCCAAGCCACAGCTTGTGTTATGGGTACCAGACAACTGATATAAATACTTAAATACATTATGTACATAAAAAAACACCCACACCAATACAAATAATCATACTCACGAATACAAAAGTATGCACCGTGCGAAGAATCGAACACATGATCATCAGAATTGGCTGCGGTGTGCTAAACTGCTATACCACCGCCTATATATTTTATAGGCCATGATTACATTTTATCATGTTGTGACATTATTACACACAATATTTATTAATTATTGCTCCTTTGAATTATTATGATAATTTATTCAAACTATAATCTAACTGTTCGATTATAATTTTTGTTTACAATTAATTTATAAAATAAACTAATATTTATAGTTCATGAAATAAGATATGTTCAAAACCTATTAAATTGACTTTACGTATTTAAAAAAATGCAATTATTTACTTTATTTCTGCTGTAAAATTATTTTATTATAGTCTAGATAATATGTGTTTGTAGATGAAATTAGTTTTTATAAATATTGGTTATCCTAGAACCAATGTTGATCCAATTGAGGAGTTACAACCTGTTGAGAGATTCAAACATAACGCTGACATAACGCTTCATGATAATCAGAGGATTAGTTAAATGCTTAATGTTCTAACAATAAATAAATAAAAAAATTACAAACTAACCAGCAAGTGCCGTCTTTAGCAGGTATTATAAAAGGTACCTAAAACCACAGGTCGATGGGCAAAATTACAGAGAACTAATTGTTTCAACATTAATTTTTAACATCTAAACGAATCTTACAACGAAGAAATTGAGGTAGATATAAATTGTGATATGGAATTATGTACAACGAACTCGATCAATAAAAAAGGCCGGTCAACCGAACTCATTGGAAAAGAATAGGTGCGTCCAAACAAACAACGTTTAGTAACAGTATTTTTTTAATAACTATAACGCGTTCCATAAACTATTTCATGTATCATTTACAATATCAGTAGTTCGTTGTAATAAATTATTTTTTTTATATATTTTTTTTTATATTTTTTTACATTTTACTTTTTATACTATCTACTTTTGTCTCTTAGGTTTTTAAGTATCTAGAAAGAAACAACTTTGTGTTAGAAGTGTAAAAAATAACTGTTAATAAAAAAAAACTATAACAGAACAGGGGCCATTTATAAATTATATCACACTGTATAACAAAGGACTGAAGGAGTACTAACATCATATTGAATATAAATAGAAATAATCTTAGAAATAATATACATATATAAACTTACTGAAAAATGATAATGTTAAACCACCTTAGATTTTATGAGGTTTTAGATTCGTGTCAACCCTATTAAATTATAGGTTTAAAACTCTATATATAAACTAATAAAATGTGACTTAAGAATTCAGAGGAGTGTGGGAAAGGGATGTGTAATAATGTAAATACTGAAATTGATGTGATATAGTCTCTAATAGCCCCTAATATAGAAAATAAAAACTGTGCGTTATAAAAGCTAGGTACATAAGTAATTATTGTGATGTCACATTAAACTGGAATGTAATTGTGAAGGTAACAGATAGCTTCTGAGGCTTTATCTAAGAACTGTCTATGAAAAATAAAACACTGAAAAATAAATACTTTATAACATCAATAAATACTAACATGGTATGTAAACTTGAATTTGGGTGTTTGGATTACATTTTGGTCTCTATTTTGTACGTTTACGTTGCACTATCGGTGTAACTAATTGTATTTTAATTTGTATTCTTGTCGAAACTGTATGTACTATATAGGAGGCACTGTAATTTAATGTAAAAACACTAGTACACACAAGTATTCTGTTCCCGCGTAAAGTTGCGTCACGCGCGAAACAAAATATTTGAGGTTATAAATTTACGCGCCATTACTGCGTTATTGTCTTGACGCTTCTCAGGCCGATTTCAATGAACAACTATACCTATACAAGAGTGCTTCGCCCAAAACGAGCAATATAATAACTATATACAATACATTTAAGTATAACAATATCTAATGGTAGGGGGATGATGTGACTGCGTGTCGATCGGTGAAGGGCCGGTTACTAGCCACTGGCAGTTCAAGCGAGAATAACTTCACGTGCGTTTGTAACAAGAGTTATTTTCGACCTGATTTTCACTTAAATTATTGTGTACCCGTAATGTTATATACGAAAAATCAGCCTTACGTCATTAAAATAAAGTCTATATTAGGAACATTACACGCCAAGCTATCCTCGCACAAACCCGTACTCGCCAGTCTGAAGCCTCAATATAAACATTAACAACATTAAGTAGTCCCTTCCGTCGTCCTCACTGTGTCCGTGCGTCCATTCAACTCCGTCTAAGAAACTATTACAACGTTTTCTGTACAAAATCTCAATTCTCTCAGTACTTATAATATACGTATCAACTGTGGAAATTGACGCGTCGAACCGGTATTCCGGTCCCGGGGGCCGCCTACCCCTCGTGTTGTACTTATACCGGTGCGGAGGCCGGCTTCAACCGTTCGGTTGCAGCGTGGGTTGAATTTTGCTGTTGTCTGACTCGAAATCTGTACTTCTAGTCAATTCTGAGTTCATGTTGTCGTCGGGGAGTTTGTTGAAGGAGTCGTTGGCGCTGAGGTCGCGGGACGAGAGGGAGAGGTCGTAGTGCGGAGAGCGGGAGGTGTCCAGCAGGTTGTAGGCCGCGGTGGCTGTCGAAGCGTCCAGGACCGTCTCCAGGGTGGTGTCCTGATCGTCGTACCGCGACAGGTCGAACGCGTCCACGTACAGACGGCCCTTCCTCATCTTGCCATTCGGTGTTTTTGATTGCTATAACGAAGACATCTAAAGATTACTTTGAAACTGATATAATTGTTGTCTGATATAAAAACGGTATGGTTTTACTAGATGTGTATTGGTGAAAGTAATAACCTGATATAATTCACATACAGCCATCTAGTTCCAAAATTACTATGTGTATTGAATTCCACTAGAATACTTAAGAAATTACGAAATAAAATTAAAAATATTTGCAATAGAAATATTTAAATACATTTTTTTTTATAAAAACAGTATGTATTTAAAACATGCAAATCGATCCAAACAACAATGCTCATGAATAGAAGTGTTTGCATCATGCGAGGATCGAACCCGCACTTTTAGGCTCGTTTACTTAGACACCTGAAATACCTGAATTAATATTCTAAATAGAAAACATTTGTTTATTTGTAACTAGCTACTTGCCCCGGCTTTGCACGGGTGTACATGTATTATATATATAAACCTTCCTCATGAATCATTCTAACTACTAAAAAAACCGCTTCAAAATCCGTTGCGTAGTTTTAAAGATTTAAGCATACATAGGGACAGACAGCGACAGCGACTTTGTTTTATCCTATGTAGTGATGCATAAACTCATAAAACCACTTAACCAATATCATAATATTAAAAATTGCAAAGCATATGTGTGTGTACATATGTATGTATGGGTACATAGTGTATATATATATATATATTTGCTCATATATGTAATGCAACAATGCACTGGTTGTTAATTTTGTTTTATTGTCTTTCAAAGTACAGGACTTTGATTAATATAATATAATTTGACTCATTATATGATTTATTTATACTTGAGCCGGCAATTAAACAATTATTATTAGATAGATAGGTAGATAGATAATTGATTTATTGCCAACATAACACAAATAATACAATATACAATAAGACACAAAACAAGAAATAAATAATAACATGGAAGTTGGCAATAGGCGCTGCCTCAGCTGTTGCTGATATAAGCACAACCTTAGTGAGGTGCACCTATACAGCGCTGGTTTTCAGGCAGCCCCCATTACACATAAAAAAAAAACTAAGATGCGGGTTTTTTACTACATACAGATACATATAATTTAAACACAAAAAAAAATATATTAAATAAGATCTAGGATACACAAATATAAATATATATAGAATGAATTACAATATTCAATGCTCACAATTATTATTATATGGTGAACTAACTCCGAACAATTATTATATGGTGTTATGTCCGCCATATGTGCATTAAAGTTGTATAAATTAACTAGCTGTCCCGGCAAACGATGTTTTGCCATATAAATTAATAACGCTATAAAAAAATAGGGGTTGATGATAGAAGGGTGAAAATTTAGGATTGTATGTATTATTGTATGTTGTATCATAAAAAAATAAAAAAAAATTAGGGGTGGACTACCCCTAACATTTAGGGGGATGAAAAATATATGTTGGCCGATTCTCAGACCTACTCAATACGCTCACAAAATTTCATGAGAATCGGTCAAGCCGTTTCGGAGGAGTATGGGAACGAAAACTGTGACATGAGAATTTTATATATAAGATAATGCAAACTAACCGGATTCTCTGTGATGTGCACGTGGCCATTGAGGAGCGGCTCCCCAGCATCCTTGGAGCCGCCGCCGTTAGCGAGTCCCCCGCCCATGTTCTGTGAAATATCAGAGGGTCTTACAGGAATATTGCACCCTCACACACACTACCCTGACCTTTAGGGATACTTTGTACTAAATCGTCTGCGTAGGTACCGTAATCTCGCCCCCCTCTCAATCCCCCGTCTAGTTTAAACAGGAATCAAAATTACGACGGCCTGAGCCGAGGTTCGAAGCCCTAGCGGTGCCCTCAAACTAAAGTCGTATCCGTCAGGTGGGAGTTGGCCTTCAGCCGCTCCATAAGTCCTTCCTTGGTTTGGAGTGCCATCTGCACTCGCCTCCTATCGTCCGTTGAAACTGTTAAGGCCAGCTGCGGTCAACATAAGAGTGGATCCACAAAAAAACAACAGTTTCACCTATTTTTTTTATTAACGGTTTACGCTAACGTAGTACCAGTGGAGGATGAACGTAAGATTAAGTGAGTTTTTTTTAATGATGATAATGTAATGGTGCACCCGCCTGCGCTAACGGTTTACGCTGGCGGGGCACCAGTGGAGGATGATAAGATGAACATGTAGTCAAATCAGTTAGCCCAACGTGACAAATTCACCGGGAATGTTTAACGATGGATTCCAGGGGGATCCGCGTGGAGGTCGATCTGACATGGTACATTGCTAGCAATGAGATCATTAGTCCACCTTACTACCAATTCCCATCCCCCGTGGTTTTCTTTTCGGACTACTCTAATACTGTTGACTGCAGCTGGCCTTTACAGCTTCACCGGACGATAGAGGGCGAGTGCAGATGGCACTCCACACCAAGGAAGGACTTATAGAGCGGCTGAAGGTCAACTCTCGCCTAACGGATACGATTTTAGTTTGAGGGCACCGCTAGGGGTTCGAACCTCGGCTCAGGCCATCGTAATATCGATCCCAGTGAATTGCACGGGGGATCGATCGGAGAGGAGCATATCGTGGTAAATTCAATACGAATTGATAACCATGGTTTCCAGTGGAAATTCTGTGGAGGTGAACTTGACGTAGTACATTGCTAGCAATGGGTTCATTAGTTTCGACGGCCTCGGTGGTCTAGCAGTCTAGCACACTGCTTTACGACCGATGGTCGCGGGTTCGATTCATCGCACGGCACAAACATTTGTATTCATGAGTATGGTTGTTTGTATCGGTCTGGGTGTCTTCTATGTATATTTACGAAAAAAAAAAAATCTATGTATTTGTATCAGTTGTGTAGTACCCATAGCACAAGCTTTAGCTAGCTTAACTTGGGTCTAGATGGCGCTGTGTGAATTGTCCTGAGATTATTATTATTATTATTATTAGTCCACATTACTAACAATCCCCTCCTAGTTTCGCCTATTTCAACTGTCAAGTGGGGGGAAAGGGGATTGTTAGTAATGTGGACTGATGATCTTATGATCTCAGTATTTTATATGCTTCATTTTTGTTCAACAGTAAAAAGTATAAATTGCTGAAAAACATTATAATATTGTTTAAAACAGTATAGTTGGCAACCCTAAACTCAGCTGATGCTGTGAGCGTAACGTTTACGCACTCTACACAGCCCTGATTTTCAGTCAGTCCCATCTGTCAGTCCCACTGTCAGTCCCTCAGTCAGTCCCATCTGTCAGTCCCTTTCATTTAATAAAATGTTCTAGCATACCTTCATTTCTGAGGTTTCATCCTCGTCTCCTTCATTGGGCGACGTGTTTCTACGGCGGGGTCTGTAACAAATATACTTCTAGATAAAACTCAAATGCTGGATAACAAAATCTTTAAAAAAATCACTATTGTAGCTATTTATTTTAGTACAGGAGTTTCTTTTTTCTCGATTGAAACTATTCGGACTAGAGGTCTAGAGATTTAGATCACCGGTTTACTTCTGATGATCATGGGTTCGATTCCTTGCACAGTGCAAATATTTTTATACATGAGTATGATTGTTTGTATCGGTCTCGGTGTTATTTATGTACCTATATTATGTAGGTATGTATTTGTATATAGGTAGAAAAAAATGTCTAAAGATTTATATTAAAATTTAAAATATCTTTATTCATGTAGGTCTATTACAGACTCTTATGATATGTCAAATCTACCGTCAGTTCGGAATGATTTCGAGATGAGAAGAACTGACAAGAAACTCAACTCGTATTCTTTTCAAATAAATGTTATACATGTTTACAATAATACAGATTCATTTTAAAATTCAAATTAAAATTTGGAAAAATAGAGTGAGTACGAGCATATGCTATTGCAAAAGCAAATAGTCTAATCAGTGTTCGTAACCCGAATAGACCAGTCCCTACAAGTAGCACCGTTCACGAGTATGACGTATGAGCCAGCCATCATTGCACTCAACCATATTGGAGGGAGCACACTGACGATATTAATTGTTTAATATCTATAACAAAACCTCTGCTTAGCTTGGGACTAGATGGCGTTGTGTGAATTATCCAAGGATACTATATTTTTTTTATACCTGTGAGGTGATCTGGTGTTCTTCCTCCGTCGCCACACACACACAGCTATCACGACCAGTACGCACAGCCCACTGATGCCGCCCGCTACTCCCATACCTGAAAAACATGACTAGATGGTGATGACCGCGAACGGGTTATAAACGGACAGACTAAGAGGCTTTCTTAAATACATTCAAATATCTACCTTATTATTATATACCTATATCTTATTATATTACGCCTAGATATATTTATATTGTATATACTAGTTTTTTTTATTTCTTTTTAAATTTAGGGACTTTTATACCATCTATGTACATGCCAGTCCCATTGTACCCTAAATTCAATCACTCCATTACCTCACCAGTGAACAAATTGCCTTAGCCGCATCGCCTGAAGGATATACTATTTGACCCCACAAACGTTGTTTTGCCATATAAATTAAAATCGCTATTAAAAAATAGGGGTTGGTGATAGAAGGGTGAAAATTTAGGGTTTAATGTCACCATATAAAAAAAATTGTCCAACAAATACAATATAATTGTTAGGGGTAGACCACCCTTATCACTTAGAGGTATGAAAAACAGATAGACAATTCTCAGACTTATTGAATATGCATATAAAATTTCATAAAAATCGGTCAAGTCGATTCGGAGGAGTATGGTAACTAACATTGTGACACGAGAATTTTATATATAAAGCTAGCTGTACCAGCTTTTTTCAGACTACTCTAATGCTGTTGGCTGCAGCTGGCCTTTACAGCTTCACCGGACGTTAGGGGGCGAGTGCAGATGGCACTCCAAACCAAGGAAGGACTTATGGAGCGGCTGAAGGCCAACTCCTACCTGACGGATACGACTTTAGTCCGAGTGCACCGCTAGGGGTTCGAACCTCGGCTCAGGTCGTCGTAATATCGATCCCCCCGTTTGAATTGGACGGGGGATCGATCGGAGGAGATTATCTGTACCCGCGTGAAATTTATAGCCTATAGGTACATATATAAAAGAATAGAATATAGAATAGAATAGAATAGAAAATCATTTATTCAAATAAACTTACAATGAAGCACTTTTGAATAGTCATTACATTTTTTTTAATCTACCGCTCGTTCGGAAAGCTGTCTCATCACAAGAAGAACGAGCAAGAAACTTGCGTGTTGCTCTTTTAAATAATTTTATGATTATAAGATGGAACCTAACCACTGATTGCAAACAATCTAAAGTGGCAACTCCAAAACCGAACCATCGGTTAACAACACGTCTACTTAATCTAGATAGACATAACCTCAAAATAATGATAGGGATAATAACGGGCCATTGTTCCTTAAACCTATACACAATTGATGCTACAGACAGTCCCCTCTGTCGGGGCTGTTTTGAAGCTGAAGAAACGGCGGCTCACGTAATCCTGGAGTGCACGGCAGTGGCCCAACAACGAAAACAAATCCTCGGAACGGTGAGGTCGCTCCGTGAAGCCTGTGAAGACACCAGAAGTCTTCTGCGCTTCTGGGAGGAGCTTGGCTGGCTACGTTAGTAGTCTGGCTCTGCACGCACAACGGCCCGAATGAGAGGCTAATTGCGGAGACTGGAGTCCAACATACATTTACATTTACATATATATCTGATGTATAAGATATATTACTGTAAAGTTTCTTCAAAATCCGTTCAGTAGTACTGCAAATAAGTTATTCTATTTAAATACTTGCCAATATAAAACGAAGAGTTGGTCTTGACCAGCGGCCGAACTGGAATGGTCAGGACCTGACTATTTTGTGTAGTATCCGGAGTTTTTACCATCACGTATGTTTGCAGTGAGGGATCCAAGTTTCTCAGCTGAAATATAATTATAATGATAATCTTTAGTTATATAATAAATCATTAATTATTTATATATTGACAGCCTCGGTTGTCTAGTGGTTTAGCACACCACTTTACTATCCGATGGTTCGATTCCTCGCACGGTACAAACATTTGTATTCATGAGTATGATTGTTGGTATCGGTCTGGGTGTTTTCTATGTATAATATGTATTTATTTACAAAAAAATGTATCCATGTATTTATATAGTTGTCTAGTACCCATAACACACTCTGCTTAGCTTGGGACTAGATTGCGCTGTGTGAAATATTATTATTATTGTTATTATATATAATAAATTACATTCATATATATATGAATGCATCCCTATTTGCAAAAATTGCGCGACGGAGGAGCATGTTTCGCACATTTATAAGTAATAAAATGAAAGTAGCCTAAGTTACTCCTTATTACATCAGCTACCTACCAATAAAAGTCCCGTCAAAATCGGTCCAGCCATTTTAGAGATTAGCCGGAACAAACAGACAGACAGATTGAAATTGTAACAAATGTTATTTTGGTGTATGTACCGTATTTGTATTCATATGCATGTAGTAAAAAACGGTTATTTCAATATTACAAACAGACACTCCAATTTTATTTATATGTATAGATAAACTACTTAATAAATACATAAATTTGACGACCTCGGTGGTCTAGCGGTCTAGCACACCGCTTTGCGTCCGATGGTCGCGGGTTCGATTCATCGCACGGCACAAACATTTGTATTCATGAGTATGATTGTTTGTATCGGTCTGGGTGTTTTCTATGTATTTACATAGTATATATTTATATGTATGTATTTACGAAAAAAAATCTATGTACTTGTATCAGCTGTCTAGTACCCATAACACAAGCTTTAGCTTTAGCTAGCTTAACTTGGGTCTAGATGGCGCTGTGTGAATTGTCCTGAGATTATTATCATTATTATTAAATAACAAAAACAGTAGTTTTCAAATGTCAAACCAAGTTTCAGAGTCAACTATTTGTTTTTTAGTGATGTGTGCAAATAACTTTTTAATGTACTACCTATATCAAGTATAATGAGAAAAAAATATTAAAAAAAAACCACAAATACCACTTACCACAACGGAGTTGTCAGTGACGTTACAACTGGCCCACTGCTCCACGAACAGCGTGAGGTTCTGTGAGTACCGCACAGTCTCAACACCAGTACCATTCCACGACACCCGGATACCGGACGGGATGAACTCATAATGCAGGTCTTTGATTTCTAAAAAAAAAACACGATATTAGACAACCATAGAAATTATTCCATACTAGATATTTTTTTGATTGAATTAATGTATTTTTTAAGCATAATTTTAAAGAAATATAAATTGTATCATTTATGTATTATAAATGCGAAAGTTTGTGAGTATGTTACTCTTTCACGCAAAAACTACTGAACGGATTTTGATGAAACTTTACAGTAACATAGCTTGTGCATCAGAATAACACTTAGGCTATATTTTTCATTGAAATGTATACACTGAAATTTAACGAGAGTGAAACCACGGGCACAACTAGTTACTAATATTATCATTGTGAAAGTTTTTGAGTATGGAAGGATGTTTGTTACTCTTTCAAGCAAAAACTACTGAACGGATTTTGATGAAACTTTACAGTAATATAGCTTATACATCAAAATAACACATAGGCTATATTTTAATATGACATTATGTAAAATGGGCGAAATATAGTGATAAATGTTAGTAAGTATAGTGTAGACCAAGTCAAGTCACGAAGAATTTTTTTATAAAATGTTTATTTAAAAAAAATCATGTGGTATACTCACTTGCTGCGTGGCAGTCGACCACATTGCTGCTCTCTTCCGGGTTGTACGCAGTCACTTTCAAAATAGTATCCGTAGTTCTGTCTATCCCATTGATCTAGAGCAATCAGAACAATTCTTTTAAACTCCCTCAAAAGCAACTGCACATATAATTTTCAATTGACTTAAACTTCAAAAATAACTGTACATATAGGAAGTTTTAGTAACTTGTGCACGTAATATCGACGACGGCATCGGTGGTCTTGTGGTTTAGACTACCGCATTACTTCTGACGATCGCGGATTCGATTCGTTGCACGTTACAAACATTTTCCACCCTCCGATGGATCCCCCGTCCAATTCCAACGGGGATGGATATTACGACAGCCTGAGCCGAGGTTCAAACCCCTAGCGGTGCCCTCAGACTACAGTCGTATCCGTCAGGCGGGAGTTGGCCTTCAGCCGCTCCATAAGTCCTTCCTTGGTTTGGAGTGCCATCTGCACTCGCCCCTATCGTCCGGTGAAGCTGTAAAGGCCAGCTGCGGCCAACAGCATTAGAGTAATCCGAAAAAAAAAATACATTTTCTATTGACTGTATTTCTTCTATGTGCACAATAAAGAGTTTATTATTATTGTTTCTTTTAGTCTGGGTGTTTTATATGTATCATATCTTATGTACGAGTATGTATTTACAAAAAAAATTAATTATATACATAAGTAAAGGATTTTTCAATTCTATTCTATCTTTTGTTTGTGATAAAACCCAAAAGGGATTGCCTTTTGGGTTTTAGCTACTGAAAGTACCAAGAATTAAATGCGGTTAAATAACCGTTAATAACGAAAAATGCATTTATGCTCGGTTAAAATCGTTAATAACCAGCTTGACATCTACGACAGACTTGTGTGTGAAAAAAAAATATATTAACTTACCAGGACAGTGTTACTGGTGGTGTCAACGTTGTCCCACTGTTCGAGCGGGACGTACATCTTGTTGGTGTAGGACACTGAGAAGTGAGTACCCTCCGCAACCCACGTCACCTGCAGCGCCGTTGCGTTCACAAACTTGCATGTTACCTCTCGGAATCTTCCAGACACTAAACATATGGAAATTTCTTAATATGCGTGTTGAGGTTTTATGTACAATTCTTTTTTTTATGTCAATATTTTAAAAAGAGAGAATGTCGTATTTTTTTTGTGTCAAATAAATTATTTAGAAATTTTTGCAATAAACATATTTTTTCTATTCAGCTTTTCTATTAGTATTTTCTTTTCCTAAAAACGAGCCGTCCACATACTGGCGACCGTGACAGGACGGTATACTGGTATTTAAAATGGAAAAGATTAAGGCAGAGAGGACATTAGCGCGTCGTAGGTTCTCATTGTGTGCTCAAAAGTTGGAAGGGCTATTGGAGAGCAACGACGAATTTATCCCAGCCGAGTTTGAGAAGCTGAATAAATTATTCGACATACTTACACTGACGCAGAATAAAATTGTTAGTGTATGGCTCGATGATGATAATCGTGATGAAGAACAATTCAATAAAGACATCGATGAAGCGGATATCTATGACTCACGTTACTATATGTTGAAGCAAAAGGCAAGTAAATTTTCTATTTCTCCACCGAAGTCAGCTGTCAATGAAATAGAAGAAAGTCAGTTGTCGTCAAAAACAAATGGCAATAGACACTTTCACCTTCCAAAGCTTGAACTTCCGAGGTACAATGGGGAGATCAGGAATTGGTTGAGGTTCTGGTCCCAGTTCAAAAAGATACACCTTGATGACCAGATTGATAATGATGACAAATTCCACTACCTGCTTCAATGCATGGAAACAGGGTCAGTAGCGAGAGAATTCTTAGAAAGTTTTCCACCATCAGGCGAGAATTATAATGTAGCCATAGAACAACTTAAGTATCGGTTTGCCAAAGATGAAATGATAATAGAATACTATGTGAGAGAGTTACTTAATCTGGTTCTAGCGCAGGCAAAAGGTGTACAGAAGGGGTCAATTCGTACATTATATGACGCTCTGACAACACAAATTTTGGCACTCGAATCTATGGGAGTAACCCAGGAGAAGTACTCATCTTTTTTATTACCATTGGTGGAATCCTCATTACCTGAAGATATATTGAAAGCTTGGAATAGGTCACATATTAATGAACGAAATAATGAAAATATTAGTCCATTATCCAGGCTTTTGAACTTTGTCAAGTCGGAGGTTGAATCTGATGAAAGGATACGTTTGTCTCGTTTTAAAACATCTAATAATTATATGGGACAGGATATTTCTATGTCTTCTGCTGCATGTTTGAATATGACAAATAGTAAGGATAAAAAGAAAAGATCTCCTGATAGGAATCACGTTGAGCGTAAAGAAAAGATATGTGTGTGGTGCGATAAGAATTCACATGCCAGCTCAGAATGTGCTACTGCTATTTGTAAAAACTTGGATAAGCGGAAAGAATACTTAAGACTGAAAAATGCGTGTTACATATGTCTTAACATTGGACATTCTGCAAAAAGGTGTAGAAAGTACCCGAAATGTGTTGTTTGTACGAAGAGACATTTTCCTATAATGTGCAGTGATGTCAATAAGCCTAATGTGGAAACAAGCACCGCCGGCACGTCACAAGAGTCTCAATCAGTACTCAATCAGGGTGGTATTCCTAATAAAACAGTTTTATTGCAGACTTTGAAAGCAAAAATATGTAACGGAAATGAGAATATTACAGTCAGAATTCTTTTAGACAGTGGTGCTCAACAAACATTCGTCACTAAGGATGTGGCTTATAAATTAAAACTAAAGGCATATGACATACAAGAAATGAGTCAAAACTTGTTTGGTGGAACTATTACTCAAAAACAAATGCATAAAATTTACAATTTAACTGTCAAAAATTTAGATGGGACATATGAATGTAAAATGAGAGCATTTGAAAAGGCGACAATATGTAGTAACATACCTATGATAAAAAAGGGAAATGATATTTTGTCTGTTTTAAAAGAAAAAGGTGTTTTTATTTCAGATCCTATAGATGATGTTTCTAAAATAGATTTATTAATTGGTTCTGATTTTTTAGGTACCTTGTTAACCGGACGATCAGTGCAGGTAGACGACTATCTCTTCGCAACTGAAACGAAACTTGGGTGGACTATACAAGGCCCCGCGTGTGGTGTGTATTGCTCTTCGTATTCGACTTCTTCTTCAGTATCTGTAAGTGCTCTTACTTGTTCGTTTAATATAGAGGACTTTTGGAAGTTAGAAACGTTAGGTATTATAGATAATGCACAAGCCAAAACGGTAACAAGACGCGAGGAGGAAGTAGGGAATTTTTTCAGGGACACCATATGTATAAACGAAGAGAATAGATATGAAGTTAGATTACCATGGAAGGAGACTGGGGATATTTTATCACCTAATTATGAGGTGGCTCTAAAACGGCTGAACACGACGACTGTAAAACTTAACAAAATAGGTTTATTATCAGAGTATGACCAAGTTTTTAATGAGTGGTTAGAAAGCGGTATAATAGAAATTGTAGAGAATGATGACACTCAATACGGTCACTATTTACCACATCATGCTGTGGTTAAGGATAGCAGTCTTACAACCAAAATAAGGCCAGTTTTCGATGCTTCTGCTTCTACTAAGAAAGGTGTCAGTCTCAACTCGTGTCTTGAAAAGGGTTCTAATCTAATTGAAGATATACCTCGCTTATTAATACAGTTTAGAAAAGGTGCGATAGGTATAACATCAGATATCAAAAAGGCCTTCTTACAAATTAGCCTTCATCCTGAAGATCGAGAGTACCTGAAGTTTTTATGGTGGAAAGACGTTAACACGTCTGATAAAAAACTTAAGGTTTATCGTCATAGGCGAGTAGTTTTCGGAGTAACTACAAGTCCGTACCTTTTAGCTGCAACCATATTATATCATCTTGATAAATATGACAATATCACAGCTAAACAATTGAAAACAAGTTTCTATGTAGATAATTGTATAGTTAGTGTTAATACTGAGAGTGAGATGATAGAATTTATTTCAAATTCCAAGGCAATTATGAATGAAGGCAAGTTCGAATTACGATGTTGGGTAACGGGACCTATTATTACGGATGAAGAGGTAACGAAAACATCAGTTCTTGGTCTTATGTGGTATCCTATGCATGATGAATTTGGCCTAAAAATTCCGTTCAAAAATATTTTGGGGACAAAGATTACAAAAAGGACCTTATTATCATTAGCACAAAGTATTTATGATCCAATAGGGTTTTCGTGTCCTACGACTTTAATCCCAAAATTATTGATACAAAAATGCTGGGAGAAAAATATTGACTGGGATATTGAACTTCCAAAGGATATTGAAAGGGGAGTCCATGACTGGTTACAGAATATAGATATCCTAGAACAATGTAGGATACCAAGACGTTTAAGTCAAAGTTTAATCGAAATCAGTGACAATTCACTACATATATTTTGTGATGCAAGCCAAACCGCGTACGCTAGTTGTATATTTTTGCGATCTGAATATAATGGTGTCATTACAGTACGACTTGTAATAGCGAAAACGAGAGTTGCTCCAACAAAACCCATAACTGTGCCTAGGCTCGAATTGATTGCAGCATTAATGGGAACTAGGCTAGCTGTTACAGCTAAAGTGGGTTTACAGCTTGAAAACTGTCCAGAATATTATTGGACTGATTCGAGTATAGTTATCGCTTGGATTCGGAGACAGACAGGTTTAAGCGTTTTTGTTCATAACAGAGTGAATGAAATTGTTACTAAAACAGATGTCAATGACTGGCACCATATATCTGGAGATTTAAATCCTGCTGATTTACCTTCTCGAGGATGTAACCCAAAACAATTAGTCAAAAGTAAATGGTGGGAAGGTCCTGATTGGCTTAAGAAACCTTCTAGAGAATGGCCTATTTCAGAAGCTGTGCCAAATAATGAAGAAGTAAATAAAGAATTACGAAACGTTAATACTTGTACTATGCTTACTGTAGGGATATTTTCTAATATATTACTTTATTTTTCTAAATATTCAAAGATTGTTCGAATGGTCAGCTGGTGCTTAAGATTTTATAAAAATAGTAGTAAAGAGTAGTATAGTAGTAAACTTTTTGGTGGGTAGCAGTGAAACAGTGAACATATTGAAACTTAGCTCTTGATTATTTAATTGTTTAATTTTATATTTACAAAATATTTATACTATATTTTATGCATAAAGTATAAGTATAGTAGTGATCTACCTGCAGTAGTGTTATCTCCTTTGCACTTTCACTTTAAACAACTTTAAATTACAACAATGGAAACAATACAGCAGTCATTGGAGCAGATGATGGAGCACTTCAATACAAGGATGGCAGCCTTCCAGGACAACCTTGAGAAAGCCAGTGCTGCTCCAGTTACCTTGGCTTCACTTGCTACAGACTTCTCACAATTTAAATCCTTGATCGGAGACTCACTGCTTAATCTCCAACATCAAGTTCAGGTTTTGGCACAACAACAAGATCGCCTTGAAATGCACAGTCGACGCAAGATTCTGCTGTTACATGGGATACCTGAAGACAGTGATATCAACTTGACACTTAATGTATCTAAGATGTTTGCTGAGAAACTCAAGGTAAACGTTCCACTACACAGCATAAGACGTATTCATCGTATGGGTCGTGTAACCGGAGGAAAACCTCGGCCCGTCCTTGTAAAATTTCATGGTATTGAGGAGCGTCATAAAGTTTGGATAGCGAAGACTGGATTTAAAAGCAGTGGCATCACATTGTCCGAGTTTCTCACTAAAGTCAGACATGACGCTTTTATGATTGCTCGGAAACACTTCGGTATCTCCAAGTGCTGGACTCAAAATGGTGCCGTGATGATCGTCGGGTCTGATGGTAAAAAACATCAAGTCAGTTCAGTTGCCGAGGTTAACCGACTCATTAATTTGACGCAGAGTGTTACGAGCGACAATACGACATTCCCAGCAACTACCCAGCCCGCCATCGCCCCGAAGACATTGGACACGGCAGGTGTAACACGCTCCAAACGTGTTTTAAAAAAGTAATCTCTTCCTAAGCTGAATAAGTGGTTGTGGTGGCAGTATTATTCACGTGTGGTCTTTCTTATTCTCAAAATTCTGTGGGTAGGTAAATTTCGTAAGTAGCACACTATATAACATTTGTTTTTCATTTGTTTTTTTTAAAAAATACTTTTATACAATTACCAACCCACATTAAAAACAAATATAATTAATTATTTTCACTTTGATGACATTTGGCATTTATGACAGTGACTGACTTGACATTTGACAGATCTGATAATGTAATACGTATTTATGGTAATTTTGGCCAAAATGGCAAATTTTTGACTTTTTGGCATTATATTCATACAGCCATAGTCTTTAATATTGCCACCTTAATTCAATCTGAGTGTTTATATTTGTTTTTGTTTTCGTTTTTGTTGTAAAAGATATAATTTATTTAATTTTAACACCTACTACTTGCAGGTAGATACATAGATAAAATATTTTTGTAATTTTTGTATATTATTATTGTTGTTTTTATATACATATTTTGTATTATATTTATATATTAATTTTGTGCACATACGCCTATGAATAGTGATACTGATGACTCATTTAATTCTGCTTCGTCTCTTAACAGCGATGACAGTTTTCATAGCGCATCTCTTCCTTTAGATGAAATATTAAATAATACCTTTTCAGAACTACCTAAGAACTTTAATGCCGTTCATATTAACGCACAAAGTATACCAGCACATTTTCCTGAAATGCTAGCGACATTTAAAGTTAATAATCTTCACGCCATCTTCATTTCAGAGTCATGGCTGAAGCCCTGTCTTTCTTCCATCTCATACTCTTTACCCGGTTTCCGTCTAATTAGATGTGATCGCACTGGCAGGGGAGGCGGTGGTGTTGCCATATACCTGCGCTCCGATATCCCTTTCGTTTTAATTAACTCCTCCGTCAGCACTAACCCTTCCTATGAACCTGAGCACCTTTTTATCGAAGTCACGCTTTCCCATTCCAAAATTCTCCTAGGAGTGTTTTACAGCCCATCACCTTCGGTTGACTATTTTTCCATATTTGAACAGCTCCTAGAGAACCTGATTCCTTCCTATAGTCATACCATTATTATGGGTGACTTTAACACCTGCCTCTTAAAAAATGACTACCGGGCAAATCGTCTTCAGTCTGTAGTTAACGCCTGCAACCTAAATATCCTACCTCTTAGCGCTACCCATTTCTTCCCTAGTTGCAATCCTTCCTTGCTCGATTTAATCCTCGTTTCATCTCCTGACCATGTTGCCCATTTTGGTCAATTCCCTGCAGATGGTTTCTCCTTTCATAACCTCATTTACCTTTCCTATAAAATTCGCCCACCTAAAATGAAACACAAAATCCTTATGCAGCGCAGTTTTGGTTCTATAGACATGGATTGTTTACGCAAAGACGCTTCAAATTGTGATTGGTCAACTATCAGCACTTTACCTAACGTTAACGAACAAGTTGATCTATTCAATAAACTGATTGTAGATCTTTACGATAGACATGCCCCTATCCGCCCTGTCAGAGTTAAGCATTTGCCTGCACCCTGGCTCACAGATGAGATTAAGACTGTAATACTGAGGAAGAATAGGGCCAAGACAAAGTTCAAGTCGAACCCCGACAGATTTCGAAATGATTACATCAACGCCAGGAATCTCTGCAATAGGATGTGTAGAGAAGCTCAAAGACGCCACATTCATAAATCCGTTGAAAATGGAGATCCAGCTAAAGTCTGGAAATTTCTTAAGTCACTAGGGGTTGGTAAAAAACATCATGATAATCCTGTTGCTATTGATATAGAATGTCTCAACCAACATTTTTGTTCTTGTCCTACTATAGATATCACTGGAAAAATAAATACCTTACGTACTCTTTCATCTTTTTCTACCCCTGACTCTTCTCCTTTTTTCTTTGATAAATTGACCGATTGTGATGTTGAGAAGAGCTTGCTTTCAATTTCTTCGAATGCCGTGGGTACTGATAGCGTTAGTCGTAATATGATCATTCCTATTCTTGATATCATTTTGCCCTCCATTACTTTTATTTTTAATAGATCTCTATCCTCCGGCGTCTTTCCTTCCAAATGGAAAGATGCTTACATTATTCCTCTACCCAAAAAGAACATTCCTACCTCATTCGCAGATTATCGTCCTATTTCCATTCTCCCTTTCCTATCCAAAGCCTTTGAACGTTTAGTCCAACAAAAGCTTAATTCATTCCTAACCAGACATAACCTTTTAAATCCTTTACAATCTGGTTTCCGCCCTGGTCATAGTACGACTACCGCTCTTATGAAAATATCTGACGACATTCGTCTTGCTATGGAGAACTCTCAGCTTACTGTTCTCACATTACTTGATTTCAGTAACGCTTTTAATACTGTGGATTTTGATATCCTATTAGGTTTGTTGTCCTCTCTCAACATATCTCCAACGGCAATTGAATGGTTTCGTAGTTACCTGTTGGGGCGTCGGCAGCGTATTCGCATAGATGACGCTTTGTCTACTTGGTGCCTTACGTCAGCTGGCGTGCCTCAGGGTGGTGTCTTATCTCCTCTATTATTCGCTTTGTTTATTGGCTCTATCACTTCTACACTTCAATCTTCCTACCATCTTTATGCAGACGATCTCCAAATCTACACTCAGGCTACCTTGGTAGATATTTCTCAAGCCATTTCCACAATAAATGATGATCTTGCCCGTATATCTGCCTGGAGTAAGTCTTACGGCCTTGTTGTGAACCCCTCGAAGACACATGCCATCATTATAGGTAGCTCCAGATATATTTCGCAAATATCTTGGAATGACCTTCCACCTGTAGTCTTTGATGGGGTCCTTATTGAATACAAGAAATCTGTAAGAAATCTTGGCGTTGTTTTTGACTGTACTTTGTCTTGGTCTCATCAAATCTCCGAGGTCAGCAAAAAAATGTTTGCGGCAGCAGGTAGCTTAAACAGATTGCGTAACTTTCTCCCTTTTGAAACCAAAATTGCACTTGCTCACTCCTTACTTCTTCCTATCCTCGATTACGCAGACTCCTGCTATTTAGATCTCACTGAAAAGCAACTAAATAAACTTGAGCGACTTCAAAATTTATGTATACGTTTCATATTTGGTCTGCGCAAATATGATCATATTTCCCATTATCGTACTCAACTCAAGTGGCTCCCTATCCGTCTTCGTCGCAACTTACACATCCTTTCACTCCTTTACAGCATTCTCTTTAACCCCCACACTCCTGATTATCTAAAAGACAGTTTCACATTTCTCAGTGAGAACAGTAGCTATCCGTCGCGTAATGTTAACAACCTCCTTCTCAGATATCCCTCTCATTCCACTTCCTTCTATTCTAAATCCTTTTCTGTCCAGGCTGTCAGGTTATGGAACGCACTCCCCCTTGCATTCGGAGCATTCAGTCTCTTGCTAGTTTCAAAGTCTCTGTCAAATCCCACTTTCTTTCCCTTTAAGTTCATATTGTCCTCTTTCTCATAGTTCCCTTCATATTTTCTGAAGATATGTGCATTATTAAGTATATGTATGTTTACGTATGTTTATATTTTATTATATATATTAATAGATATATTTATGTACAAATGTATATTTATGTTCATTACGTGCACCACCTACTATTTTCTTATCTTAATGTTACTTTCTCTACTGGTAGTCTGGAAGAGATTGCTTAGCGATAAGACCGCCTTTTGTATCAGTTTATGTATTATATCATTTTGTGTGTTTTCTTTGTCTGGTGCAATAAAGAGTTTAAATAAAAATAAAAAATAAAAATAAAGTAAATAATAGAAAAGACCAAGGTGATATATCAGTTACTGAATATATTAAAGCTGAAAAGGTTATACTGGCCATTATACAAAAAGAAAGTTTTAATAATACAAATTTGAATCTTAAATTAAATACATTTAAGGATGATAATGATTTAATAAGGATCAAGACTCGACTTACATTGTCGAACGATACAGAGAATTTTCGTACACCAATCCTGTTGCCAAGCAACAATGTGATTGTTATGAGACTTGTCATTGAGACACACGTAACAAATTTGCATTGTGGTTCTCAAACATTAATAAGTATTCTTCGCGAAAATTATTGGATTGTAGGAATCAGAAGAATTGCGAAGAAAATTATACGAGAATGTGTTATTTGCAAACGTTATTCTGCGAAAGCTGGATATACACCACCAGCTCCACTTCCTATTAATAGAATAACATGTGGTTCTCCGTTTGAAGTAACAGGTACAGATTTTGCGGGACCATTATTACTGAAGTCAGGGGAAAAGTGCTGGATTGCTCTTTTTACGTGTGCAACATATAGAGCTGTGCATCTAGAGCTGTGCACTTCATTATCAACTGAAGATTTCCTTTTAGCATTAAGACGTTTTTTAGCACGAAGGGGAAAAGTTAGAATAATTTATAGCGACAATGGGACTAATTTTAGAGGCACTGCGAATATTATGAATCAGATGAATTGGCAGGAAGTTTCTTCTTTATCCCTCACTCAAAAAATTGAATGGCGATTTTCGCCACCCTCTGCGCCGTGGTGGGGAGGGTTCTGGGAGAGAATGGTGAGAACTGTCAAAGAAATTTTACGTAGAATGCTTGGAAAGGCGTCACTTAGTTATTGTGAACTCGCTACGATTTTGTGTGAAGTTGAGAGTATAGTTAATTCGAGACCATTGACTTATATAAAGGAAAGTTCAGAGAATTTGAGAACTTTGACACCCGCAATGTTTCTGAAGGTAGATGTGGAGGAAGGTGAAACCAATGATTTGAGTCACATAGATGGCAATATTTTGACGTCTCGTTGGCGATATTTAAAAAAGTTAAGCTGTGACTTAAAGCAACGGTTTCGGAATGAATACTTGTCACTTTTGATTCAAAGAGAACAGAAACAACGGAATCAGGTACATAAAGTCGGTGATGTAGTTTTGGTGGGTTGTGATAATACCAAACGTCTACATTGGCCACTAGGTTTAATTGTAGAGATTTATCCAGGTCCTGATGGTAGTTGTAGAGTAGCTAAAGTTAAAACGGCTATGGGTGATCGTATGAGGCCTGTTCAACGATTGTATGCATTAGAAGTTAGTTCAGGAGATTTTACGGATACTAAGAGCAATACACATTGTGTCGAGACTGATAAAATGTGCGAGTCGTTACATCCAATTACACGCACTGGTCGTGTCGTAAAAATACCTCACCGCCTAAACTTATAGGTTATTTTATGTTTGTGATTTTAGAAGTAGTGTGAAATTTATTTTGTTTGTCTGTCTTGCGATATAGTCGCAAGGGGCGGAGTATGTTGAGGTTTTATGTACAATTCTTTTTATGTCAATATTTTAAAAAGAGAGAATGTCGTATTTTTTTTGTGTCAAATTAGATATTTAGAAATTTTTGCAATAAACATATTTTTTCTATTCAGCTTTTCTATTAGTATTTTCTTTTCCTAAAAACGAGCCGTCCACAATGCGAATAGAATGGAATAGAAAATCATTTATTCAAAACTTAATTTAAGCACTTTTGACAACAATTTTTTTTTTAAACTACCCTTTATTCGGATCGCTGTCTCATCACAAGAAGAATAAGCAGGAAACTTGTGTGTTGCTCTTTTAAACAATCCTTGTAAGTCCACATTTTACAAGTCGAAACGTGTGAATACAAAGTACCAACCAGCACTAATTTATTTAGGCTCAAATATAAAAATACGATAAGATTAAATCAGTCGTAGTGATAAGAGTAGACCAGACCACACAAGCAGCACCCGTTCACGAGTATGACGGATGAGCTAGCCACCACTGCGATCGACCATATTTTAGGGAGCCCAATGACCCGGCCCACCACGCCGCCACAAGTCTGGACATTTTAGTGAGCATGACTACTCAAAACACCAGACCACGTTCGTGTTAAGACCCGGTTAATAATATAAATCTTATATATAAGATTCTCGTGTCACAGTTTTCGTTCCCATACTCCTCCGAAACGGTCTTGATAGGTCTGAGAATCGGCCAACATCTATTTTTCATCCCCCTAAATATTAGGGGTAGTCCACCCCAAATTTTTTTTTATTTTTAGACAAAATGTTTAGTTTCTATTTTTTTACGATACAACATACAAAAATACATACCATCCTATTTTTTTTTATAGCGTTATTAATTTATATGCCAAAACAAAGTTTGCCGGAACAGCTAGTAATGTATTTTAAACAAGAAAGTTTAAAAATAACTATGAGAAGAACTGACAAGAAACTCAGCTCGTATTCTTTTCAAATAAATGTTATACATGTTTACAATAACACAGATTCATTTTAAAATTCAAATTTGGGAGAATAGAGTGAGTACGAGCATATGCTATTGCAAAAGCAAATAGTCTAATCAGTGTCCGTAACCCGAGCAGACCAGTCCCCACAAGCAGCATCAACATTATCACTTAATCATTATCAACCAAGTGTAGGGTTCAACCTGTACATAACTATTTGGCTTACCCAGCGGCTGTGTGGTGACATGCAGTGGTAGGCTGGTGGACAGTTCTCCTGCAGCCCCTGCCGCCCTAGCCTTCACTGTGACTTCATACTCCGTCGCTGGCTTCAAATTCATGAACGTCACCCATTCACGGTCGCTAGTAAAATAAAAGAAAAAAACATTTATTCCCTTACGTTTTGACCAAATGGACACTTTCGATAAAGTCGTCTGTAGACCTTTGTCGCACCTAATTTATAGTTGATTTTACACGTGCACTCTTAAACGAGAGAATCGGCTTTCACGTCAAAATTCCCGATTGAGCATGTAAATAGACAAAGAGAACGAATAAGACAGCATGCAGGATATTTTATGGGTGTTTTCTATGTATATTATGTACTATATGTATTTATATCAGTAGTCTAGTATCCATATCACAAAATCTGCTTACCTTGGGACTAGTACCTATACGATCTTTTTATAGTGTGCGAAAATTTTGAAATAAAAAAGGAATCTAGATATTCTATTAGTTGTGTAGTACTCATAACATGAGCTCTGCTTAGCTTCGGACTAGATGGCGCTGTGTGAGTTGTTCAGGGATATCTTCTTAGCTCGGGACTAAACGGCGTTGTGTGTTATCCAGGTATATTATTATTGCGGGTTCGATTTCTCACACGGCACAAATATTTGTGTTCATGAGTCTGAGTGTTTACAAATAAAATATACAAAATCTGCTTAGCTTGGGACTAATAATATGGCGTTGTGTGTAGATCCAGGAATATTATTTTAAGTAATGTTTTTTATATCCCAATGTCTCTAACGGTATCGAACCACTTAGCTTGAGGCGAGACTTCGCATCGCTTTGTGTGTTCTACCGAATATACAACGGACTGTGTTCTGATGAATTGTTTGACATGATGCATACGGCTACCTTTTACCATCGCACCGCTCGCCATCGACAGGGAATTCATCCTCACACGCTGGAACCTAAGTGGTCTCGGACAGTGCGGTTTCAGAGGAGCTTCCTCCCGCGTATACTTAGATTGTGGAATGAACTACCTGCCGAGGTTTTCTCGAGAGACTACAGCATGGGGGTTTTCAAGAAGGCTATATTAAGGTTTCTTAAGGGTCGGCAACGCGTATGTGACACCCCTGGTGTTTCAGGCGTCCATAGGCTACGGTAACCGTTTACCATCAGATGGGCCGTATGCTTGTTTGCCACCTAAGTGGTATAAAAAAAAACAAAATGTGTTGAAATTTACTTACGTTTCAACACATCTCTTAAAGTCATCGTCGTTGGTCACACAGATCCTGTAGCCATATACTTGCACTGTACTCTCACAACGCCAAGTGACCGTGAACTCTTGGGTACCAATGTGAGTTGCCTTCAAAGCTTCAGGTACCACGGATGCCATCCCACTGGAAATTTGATAGAAATTATTCCAAAAATATTCTTCAAAATCATCGCCACAATTTTCGTTACTGAAAATTCAAAATATTTTTATTCATGTAGGACTATTCCCTTATGAGATGTCAAATCTACCGTCAGTTCGGAATGATTTCGAGATGAGAAGAACTGACAAGAAACTCAGCTCGTATTATTTTCAAATAAATGTTGTACATGTTTACAACAATAATAGTTAAATTTACAATAATATACCATAAGTAATTTCGTCCCACCTTGTTTCAAACCGTTCTATCATATATAATGTTATTTGGAGATCAACGGAACCTCACCCACGGTCCAGGTTGTCTGTGGTCGACCACGGCACCAGCGTCAAGTCCTGCACCAACCACTCCAGCGAACGGGAACCCAGCACTCGCACCAGGATTGACTCAGATTTAGGAACTACAACCAAACATGTTAAAATATTTAAGACTTATATCAGTACACGCTGCTCAAATTACTGGAACACTGATAAGACATATAGAAATATACATATATATAAAACATTCATTATGATAATGATTATCATCAACATCATCACCACCACAATTATCATCGTCATCACCACCATCATCATCAACGTCATCATTATCATATCAGTAACTGAACAATATAATATATCACCAGAACTGAATCCAATTTCCTCTATACCGTCGAAGTTATGTACCTAAAATGTAGGATTTCAATTACCGTCCAAAGTGTAGCTGGTGATGACACCATCTAAAGTGATGTTCTCTTCTCTGCTGTTGTTCGAAGCTTTGTATTGGAGAATCCACTGCACAACACCAGGTGACTCCTCGGCGAATTCCCTCCAAGATATTAAGACTTTGTCGTCATTAGGCCGTGACATATAGATTGGAACTGAAAGGCAAGGTAAAATAAAAGACCGTTTAAAAATATAACACAAAAAAGTAACCGTTTCATTTCTTGCGATATCTTCTTAGCCAAAGTGGTTAGTGACACTGAATGTATCGGTGAGTCAATAAATATTTTTAATTTTAACTTTATTAAACCCTGAAATATAAGATCTATCGGTAAGTGTATTATTAAACCTCGTAATAACCCTAAATATGTTTATTGGTAGTTAAATGTTACGTGTATATTAATTCATGCAATAATTCGTTTAATTTTTTTAGGCACATATACGCGATGGCTCCCATTTTCCATCCGGTGAACCGTAAGTAATTTTTATAACATATAAAACATGTACCTCCTTGTCCTTGGCAGATGACACCCTCAGACATGTCACTCGCTATGGTCCTCTTCGATGATGTCTGAATTACAGCACGCACCTGCACACAATCATTACGTCAGGGAGGAAGGGCATTGTTAGTAATGTGGATTGATAACCTCATTGTTAGCAATGTATGGTACATTGCTAGCAGTCAGGTCGACCTCAACGCGGTTCCCTCTGGAAACCATCGTGTTAAATTCTTGGTGAATTTGTCACAATGGGCTAACTGACCTGACCTCGTGTTCATCTTATCATCCTCCACTGGTGCCCCGCCAGCGTAAACCGTTAGCGTAGACGGGTGCACCATTCCATTATCATTCACAAAAAAAATCATTACGTAACTAAACCTCTTACTTTTAACTAATGGCCCGCTCTATCTTAGTAGGGCGAGATAGGTCGCCCTAACAACGTGATAGGCCCAGCCCTACACAATCGATAGGGCGGCCCAACGCTGCCGGAGAGCTCACGACTCCGGCAATGACGCTTGTAGGTACACCGCATGGTTTTTAGTTGATAAGAATCCCACACACCCTCATCACACTTCGGACTAAAATTTTCTAAAACAATATGTCTTAATTCTAAATTTAGTCCGACTACAAAAATGAGATTATGTAAAGTTTTACAGATTTTCAGAGAATCCTATTATTGACTTAGCGAACATCATGTAATATTGGTAGTTTGTTTATTTGTGTGAATATTTCACAGTACCTCCACGGCGATTCATAGTCTTCTGACATACTGTTGATTTGTATTATTAAATTATCCATTTTGTTTAAATTGTATTTTTTGTTATATTCTGTTTAAGGAACTGTCACAAACTTAAGGACGTTTTTAACGTTTACGCACTACTGTATGGTCAATAGATAAATATATATTCAAATAATTTATCTGTAGTAATATTATAAAGAGGTAAAGTTTGTGAGTTTGCGAGATATGCTAGCTAATACACGCAACCTCGTCTGCATTTTCATAGTTTTTGCAACATTTTTCAATGCAGCTCCGCTTCTTTTTGTGCTAGCGTAATGTTATACAGTGTATAACCTATCTATAGCTATCCAACAGTAAAAGAATTTTCAGAATCGGTTCAGGAAATCCAGATATTACCCTTACAACCTCACAAACTTAACCTCTTTTTAATATTAGCATAGCAGAGGGACAAGGGATTGTTATAATGTGGATTGATCACCTCATTGTTGGCAATGTACCATATACCATTCAAATCAAATTTTAATCGATTATATTTATTACAGACTCTTATGATGTGTCAATTCTACCATCAGTTTGGAATGCTTTCGAGCCAAAAACATATTCAAATGGACTCGATTTCAAAATATATTTATTAACGTAGGTTATTATTATTATTATTACTATTACAGACTCTTATGATATGTCAAATCTACAGTCAGTTTGGAGTGCTTTGAAGCCAAGAACTGACCAGAGACTAAGCTCTTATTATTTTTAAATGACCTTGCACATGTTTATAAAAATACAGACTCATTTCTGGATATGATTTCAAATTATGGATGTGACCTCCACGCTCCCCCCTGGAAACTATCACGATAAATTCGTGGTGAATTTATCATGATAATCTTATCATCCTCTACTGGTGCCCCACCAGCGTAAACTGATAGCGCAGGCGGGTGCACTACTCCATCATCATGAATTGAATTAAATAATAGGTTAATACTAGTAATATTACTAAATATTTAACATACCTGAAAAGTGTACGGGGTGAGTGCTTTGGGAACAGTTATTTCCTCCTTGGTGTTAGTATGCGGCTGGCCCGGTGAAGATGACGTGCCGGCTGAAACAAACAAATTATGTAAAGAAGTGCCCGCTATAAACAATTACAGTACAATTGAAATCACATAAGAGTCATGATGTCTTAGTACCCGGGAATGGTATCGCATCAGTAATATCACGGTTGTCACATGATAACGTGATGTCTGTAGTGTATACAGGTGATGGTTACCACTTGCCGTTAGCATATTTGCCATTCCAAAAACATAAAAAAACAATAGTTAATGTAATAGTTTAAATTATTTTCATATATTTTTATTAGTATTCAATCTCATATGAGAAGAGGCTTATGCCCTAAAGATATAATGGATTTTTAGCATCAGCATCAGCATCATCATCATCATCATCAGCATCATCGTCATCATCATCATCATCATCATCATCATCACCATCATCATCAGGATTTGCAGCATAGATATTGTTTTTGCACGATCCCCTGCTCTCTGATTTACTGTACTGATGTCACACACCTGGGCTCGACCCCCATCAGGCCTCATAAGGGCCTGTACCTGAGTCGGTGGTCTGCACGGTGTACAAGTGGGGCCGGGCCCTACTCACGAGCACGTGGCGGGCCCGGCGGGGTGGTCGCCCGTACCTGAGTCGGTAGTCTGCACGGTGTACGCGACCACGGAGAACACGTCGGGGCGGGCCCAGCGCACGAGCACGTGGCGGGCCCCGACGGGCCAGCAGCGCGGGGCCCCGGGGGCGGGCGCGCCCTCTCCCGTCACTCGCAGCGCCGCCCACATCGACGCTGCCGACACCGCATTGCTCGCGAAGCATTGGTAAATCCCTACACAGAAAAACAACTATTTGTGATTATTTGTACCCAAGTGCGTACAAACGAGCTGCCCTTAACTTATATATAATATTCTCATGTCACAGTTTTCGTTCCCATACTCCTCCGAAACGGCTTGACCGATTCTCATGAAATTTTGTGAGCGTATTGAGTAGGTCTGAGAATCGGCCAACATCTATTTTTCATCCCCCTAAATGTTAGGGGTAGTCCACCCCTAATTTTTTATTTTTTAGACAAAATTTTTTATGATACAACATACAAAAATACATACAATCCTAAATTTTCAACCTTCTATCATCAACCCCTATTTTTTTTATAGCGTTATTAATTTATATGGCAAAACAACGTTTGCCGTGACAGCTAGTCTTGTATATAAAATTATCGTGTCACAATGTTAGTTACCATACTTCTCCGAAACGGCTAAATCGATTTTTATGAAATTTTATATGCATATTCAGTAGATCTGAGAATCGGCTACTATCATACCCCTAAGTGGTAAGGGATATCCACCGCTAAATATACTTTTTTTAGTTTTTCGATATAATATTTGATTTTCATTTTATTATTATTTAGGATAGAAAAATATATACAACCCCAAATTTAACCCCTCTATCACCTTCTATTATTGAATAGCGGTTTTAATTTATATGACAAAACAACATTTGGGGGGTCAGCTAGTCTATATATAGACTATACACAGACAGACTATATATAGACGCAAACGTTAACTAAAACAACATTTCCGTAAAATATATTATATAATATCTTGGAATGACCTTCCACCTGTAGTCTTTGATGGGGTCCTTATTGAATACAAGAAATCTGTAAAAAATCTTGGCGTTGTTTTTGACTGTACTTTGTCTTGGTCTCATCAAATCTCCGAGGTCAGCAAAAAAATGTTTGCGGCAGCAGGTAGCTTAAACAGATTGCGTAACTTTCTCCCTTTTGAAACCAAAATTGCACTTGCTCACTCCTTACTTCTTCCTATCCTCGATTACGCAGACTCCTGCTATTTAGATCTCACTGAAGAGCAACTAAATAAACTTGAGCGACTTCAAAATTTATGTATACGTTTCATATTTGGTCTGCGCAAATATGATCATATTTCCCATTATCGTACTCAACTCAAGTGGCTCCCTATCCGTCTTCGTCGCAACTTACACATCCTTTCACTCCTTTACAGCATTCTCTTTAACCCCCACACTCCTGATTATCTAAAAGACAGTTTCACATTTCTCAGTGAGAACAGTAGCTATCCGTCGCGTAATGTTAACAACCTCCTTCTCAGATATCCCTCTCATTCCACTTCCTTCTATTCTAAATCCTTTTCTGTCCAGGCTGTCAGGTTATGGAACGCACTCCCCCCTTGCATTCGGAGCATTCAGTCTCTTGCTAGTTTCAAAGTCTCTGTCAAATCCCACTTTCTTTCCCTTTAAGTTCATATTGTCCTCTTTCTCATAGTTCCCTTCATATTTTCTGAAGATATGTGCATTATTAAGTATATGTATGTTTACGTATGTTTATATTTTATTATATATATTAATAGATATATTTATGTACAAATGTATATTTATGTTCATTACGTGCACCACCTACTATTTTCTTATCTTAATGTTACTTTCTCTACTGGTAGTCTGGAAGAGATTGCTTAGCGATAAGACCGCCTTTTGTATCAGTTTATGTATTATATCATTTTGTGTGTTTTCTTTGTCTGGTGCAATAAAGAGTTTAAATAAATAAATAAATAAAAAATATATTTTTTGAGCAATGATAATGTAATGATGCACCCGCCTGCGCTAGTGCTGGCGAGACCAGTCCAAGACCAGTCCAGACCAGTCTTTGAATTTTAGCATAACTTTTACAAAAAAAAAAAAATTACCAGCGTCATCCGAAGTAACGCCACCGACTACCAACTCCACGCGGTTATCCTTCGGTGACAGTCGTTGATTATACTGAAACAATGTTTTAAATAGTGTTAACTATCGTGTGACGCACCATTAATTAAAAATGGTAAAGTCAATAATCATGTAACCTGAAACGGAACGTCAGAGGCCAGAGCCAAAGTAATCTATGTGACATTGACAAGTGGATGACGGATGTTTGAACGTAAGCAGCGGGAGTTTTGGAGCGAAAAAGTTGAAGTGTTTATATTATTATAAAAACAAATAGGAGATAGGTAATTGTGAATATTGTAGGCATTGAGGTGTTTCTCTCCCTGACTAACCGGTATTACGCCTAAGTCGTCAGGATACTAGTGATTTTAAAAATAGTTTAGCACGCCGCTTTACGTCCAATGGTCGCAGGTTCGATTCCTCGCATGGTACAAACATTTGTATTCATTAGTATGATTGTTTATATTTGTCAGGTCTTTTTCGGCCTTCCTCTACTCTTACAACCAACCACATTTATATGTAATACTTTATTTTAAATATTATCTTCATACCTACGTCCTTGCTTCCTTCATTCCTATTTCTTTATTTACATTCAAACAATAGCCTAAAAAATAAATTACAAACTTTTAGTTTTAAAAATGACAATACGTCTATACATAGGGAAATGGGCAAAGTCAGGTTGACCTCCACGCGGTTCCCCCTGGAAATCATCGTGATAAATTCCTGGTGAATTTGTCACGATGTGCTAACTGACTTGACCTTATACTCATCTCATCATACTCCACTGGTGCCCCGCCAGCGTAAACCGTTAGCGCAGGCGGGTGCACCATTCCATTATCATCCATAAAAAAAAATACTTCTGTACAAACTTTTCATCTCCATACAACCCTTTTTTTGCATTAAAAAGTAACCTATATCCTTTCTCAGGATCTAGACTATCTGTTTATCAAATTTCGTTTAAATCGGTTCCGTAGTTTTGATGTGAAACCGAAACAGACAGATAGAGTTACTTTCGTATTTATAATATTAGTAAGAATTCAAATTCAAAAATCATTTATTCATGTAGGACATTTTAGCCGTTTATGAACGTCATTTTATATTACAACTAGCTAACTTTTGCCCGCGGCTTCGCTTGCGTAGATGTATTATTATTAATTAGTTGTAGTTTGTAGTTTTTAAAAAAATTAGGGCTTACAAAATCTAAGAAGATTTATACAAATTTTTATCCCCTATTTTATCCCCTTAGAGATGGAATTTATCAAAATCCTTTCTTAGGGGATGCCTTCGTCATAGTAGCTTTATGCATGCAAAGTCTCAGCCCGATCGGTTTAAAATTGACAAAGTTTCATACAAACTTTCATCCCCTATTTCATCCCCTTGGGGGTAGAATTAATCAAAATCCTTTCTTAGCGGATGCCTACGTCATAACATCTACCTGCATGCCAAATATCAGCCCGATCCGTCCAGTGGTTTGGGCTGTGCGTTGATAGATCATTATGTCAGTCACCTTTGAGTTATATATATTTAGATTTTTTTCCCTACCTATTAAAATCTATAAAATTATTACTTACTCTTCCACCCATTAGTAAGGGTTTGCCGTCTCTGAACCAAGTAATTGTAGGTTTAGGATGTCCCGTCGTTGTGCAGTTGAACCTCACTGTGGTGGCCCGTACCACCTCTTTAGGGGTAGGGGGGATGGTGATATTCACCGCTTCACCAACTATAATGTTGAATATCTGCAAAAGTAATGCAAATTGGTCAATAGTTCTTTTTTTTTATTTATTTACACACAAATTTATCTATACATCTATACATATAAATAAAATTGGAGTGTCTGTTTGTAATATTGAAATAATCGTTTTTTACTATATGCATATGAATATAAATACGGTACGTACACCAAAATATTTTTTACAATTTTTGTCTATCTGTCTGTTTGTTCTGGCTAATCTATGAAAAGGCAGGACCGATTTTCACGGGACCTTTTTCGGCAGATAGCTGAAGTAATAAGGGATAACTTACGCTACTTTTATTTAGTAGTACCTTTTTTAGTATAAAACAAAGTCGCTATCCCTGTCTGTCCGTCCCTGTGTATGCTTAAATCTTTAAAACTACGCAACGGATTTTGAAGCGGTTTTTTTTAATAGATTGAGTGATTCAAGAGGAAGGTTTATATATATAATACATGTACATTTGGATGAAACCGGGGCGAGTAGCTAGTAAGTAAATAAACCCCTATTTTTTATAGCGATACTTTCATTTATATAGGAATAAAACGTTTGCAGATTACAGATACAGCTAGTATAATAGTTATTTTTACAGCGTTACTTTCATTTATATGGGAATAAAACGTTTGCAGATTACACTAGTATAATAGTTAGTATAACTATGTAATATTATATTATCTGTGGTATAACACAAACCTTTTCCAAATCGGTGCCTTCAACTATACATTTATATTTTCCTTCGTGTCGTCTCTCGATGTCTCTCAGTACCAAAACCTGAGTGTTAGATTCTAACATAGTCTGAACACCTTTCAGCCAGTTGATCTGAAACAAATTATGAATTAGCTAGATTTTCAAATGCAATTTCGCACACTTATCATTACACAGTATAAAAAAAAATCGCGGTCGCTGTCTGTCTGTCCCTATGTATGTTTAAATCTTTAAAACTCCGCAACAGATTTTGAAGCGGTTTTTTAATAGATAGAGCGATTCAAGAGAAACGTTTATATGTATAATGTATGTACATCCGGGCAAAGCCGGGGCGAGTAGCTAGCAGTTTATATAGAGAAGAGCAGAATCCTAATATTAAAAAAAAACATGCATTAAAAATACATCAAATCATTAAAAAAAACATTACACACACTAGTGTGTGTCATACACACACACGCTTATATACTCTTTTGTTTATTGTTAAAGTCTGTGGTCAAATTGAGAATAGATTAAAATTATTTTTAGTCTTACATTGTGTTAAAATAATTATGACCGAATTTCCACTGAGCGACCACTAGTCTAAATAAATAAATGAAAACTGTAGGCTTACAAACCTTAGGTCTTGGCCACCCGAGTACAGGGCAAGGCAGTACAATGGTGCTCCCTCGAGTTACCACAATATTGCTCTCATAGTGTACTGGCAAAAATGACGCTGCCAGGGGAGACCTTATGTTCTCAACTCGTAACCAGGCTGGACGGCTGGTACGAGTTTTGTTTAGCAACGGGTTGGTTGCCAGGCATCTGGGGATGAAATAGGAAACGAATCAAGAAATCAAATCGAAATATCTTTATTCATGTAGGTCTATTACATACTTATGATATGTTAAATCCACCGTCAGTTCGGAATGATTTCGAGATGAGAAGAACTGACAAGAAACTTAGCTCGTATTCTTTTCAAAAAAGCTTGTACATAATTACAGAAAAACATATTTATTTTTAAATTCAATTAGAGATAATAGAGTAACCACTAGAATAATCATCATCATTACATAGTATAAAACAAAGTCGCTGTTGCTGTCTATACGTTCCTATGTATGCTTAAATCTTTAAAACTACGCAACGGATTTTGAGGTCATATTAATAGATAGAGAGATTCAAGAGGAAGTTTATATATATATAATACATGTACATACGGGCGACGCCGGGGCGTAGCTAGTGATATAATAAATCAATTCGAAATATCTTTTTTTTTCAATTTAATTCAATTCATAACATCTTTATTCATATAGGTCTATTACAGACATTTATGATATATCAAATCTACCGTCAGTTCGGAATGATTTCGAGATGAGAACTGACAAGAAACTCAGCTCGTATTCTTTTCAAATAAATGTTATACATGTTTACAATAATATAGGTTCATTTTTAAATTCAAATTTGGGAGAATAGAGTGACCAACAGCATATGCTATTGCAAAAACAAATAGTCTAATCAGTGTTCGTAACCCGAACAGACCAGTCCTCTTTTTCAGGGAGATCTATTACAAATTCTGTTATTATAATGAGGGGGTCAAAAGTGGCTCCAAATGGTTCGTGTAAATATACACACGGTGCTGCTTGCGAGTTTACTTGAAACTCGGCTTTGACACGCTGCCGCGTGTCTAGATTTTATAGTAATTTAATTTGAAATAGTTTTAATTATATTTAAAACTAATTATTATATAATTACCTGTATACACCTTCATCTTCTTCAGTCACATCTGTGATTAGTAATTGATTTGGAAGAAACAGTGATCTGTAAGAAAGAAAAATTATATCATTGCAATGAGTATAATATTAACGGCATCGGTGGTCTAATGGTTTAGCACACCTTACCTCTAATGGTCACAGGTTCGATTCAGCACACGGTACAAACATTTGTATTCATGAGTATGATTGTTGTATCGGTCTGTGTGTTTTCTATATACAAAAACAAGTATATAAATATTTCTATCAGTTGTCTAGTACCCATAACGCAAGTACTGATTAGCTTATGACTGGATGAGGATGTGTGAATTGTCCAGGGTTATTAATTTGTCATAATTTTAAACTAAATGCGCCCTGCGGTTTCACCCACAGTCTAAATTAGAAGAAATGGCGGACGCTGTAGGGTTTCGAGCAGTATATCATCAGTGTCATATTGCTCGTGCACGCTATCAGAAAATATTTTTTAAAAGAAATGTAAATATTTCTTCTGTCCTGTAAAAGGTAAGGTATACTGTAGCGTAATGTTAAATAGCTTTTAACCTTTATCAAGCATTGTAACTAAATGTAAAAAGATTTTAAATCCGGCCGGTGGATCCAGATGTAAGAGAATTTCAAAATATAAGACCTTTAGTCTTATGTATTCATTCTGACTGATACTAGTGATTTTATCCCCTTTTTTAAGTAAAAGTTAGTCCTTATTCTTTCTATAATTCGTTATTCTTTCTCATTTCCGTCCGGTAAATCTGTAAAAGTTAACTGAAAGCTGCAACTTTAGTATAGTTAGAAATTTTTATTATTTGTACATTATTTGTAATAGTTATAATTTGCACATTTTCATATGCCATGCTGTATTGGGTTGACTAGAGATCCTTCTTTGTTAACATTATTTCTAATTAACATACCTAAAATATATTTAAGTGCAATAAAGAATATATGAAATATTTGTATATAAAAATTACGTGTCACGTTCTTTGTCCGCGATGGACTCCTAAACTACTTCACTGATTGCAAATTTGATTTGCACATTGTGTACAATTTAATCCAACTTGAAAGATAGGATAGCCTACATCTCAGTTTATAGCCGCAATACTATTTTATTCAAGAACCTTAGCCACAGCAACGCGTGGCCGGTTCTGCAAGTTGCAAATATCTAAAAACTAAAAGTCTTTAATAGAAAAATTGTAATGAACTCAGTTTCACTGAATAAAATAAATGGAAAAAGAAAAGCATAAAAAAAAAAAATTCGCTTCCAGATGATTAATTTATTTTAATTAAAAATTTTAACAGGTTTTTTGATGATAATGATTCAGTTTTTTGATGATAATGATTCAGTTATAGACAGGGTTCGAGCTTTCAAAAATACTCAGTATATAGTATACAGCTTGATTTTGGGCAAACTACAGCTTTACGCTATACAAGCTATACAATTATGGTGGCAAACAAGCATAAGGCCCATCTGATAGTAAACGGTTACTGTAACCTATAGACACTTGAAACAGCAGGGCTGTCACATGGGCATTGCCGACCCTAAGGAAACCTAGTAAACCTCCATAGTGTAGACTCCTGAGAAAATTTGAGCAGATAGTTCAACCCATATATAATACACGCGAGGAGGCTCTTCTGAAACTGTAGGATATGAATATTTATTTAAGAGGCAAAAGAATCGTCTTGACTTGTAATGGTAAGATCTGATGATCAAATATAAAATTTTTACCTTCTGCTAATGTTATCAGGAAGAAGTTCTTCATTTTTCATCCAGGTAATCATGGCAGAGGGTCCTGAACTAATATTACAGGTAAACACAACCGGCTGGCCGATGCTCGCTGTCGTATTTGTTGGCTGCTGAGTAAATTGCTTCCCTATATCTGTGAACAAAGAATAATTTATATATATTTATTTATTTCAGGCAGTTTACTAAACTAACATACATATAAAATCCATTTTTTTTATTTTAAGGTTTGGGTTATTGTTAGGTGTTAAGACTTGTAACACTGCGACCTGTATAGATTTATTGTGCTCGCCCTTTTTCAAACTTTGCTACCTAGACCCGTGAGGGACAAAAATTGAAGGAAATTCTTAGGAGCGATGGTTTTTATATCCTCAGGATATAATGTAGGTATACTTTACAAAGGAGATATTTCGTTTTATATTTTATAAAGTCCTTACTAATATTATAAATGCGAAAGTAACTTTCTGTTGAGTTGTAGGGTCAATCATAAATGGATAGCATACCATGTTTTTTTTGGTGTCGTCTAGATTCGAACTTTGATTCTTTAAGACCAAGTCGGAGTATTAAACCACAAGTCCTCAATGTTCTCTAGCAATATATAATGTTAGTATATAAATACAATTATATTATAAGGATATAAAATCATTCAGTAATATTTCCCAGAGATATTATATTTATTTATTGCCGTAGGGAAAATTTCAAATACGTACAAAGAGCCTTTTATATCTGCTACTACAGACTGCTATTTTTATCGGCTAATTTGAATTCGTATATAAATGTAAAGGTCTAATTGCGACTACAAAGGTACCCAAAAGAACTAGCGTGGTAACTTACAAAATTCTAAAAAACTCTATTAAAAAAAACAATAGTACAGAAAATCATTTATTCAGATAAACTTACATTGAAGCACTTTTAAATAGTCATCACATTTTTCTCAATCTACCGCTCATTCGGAAAGCTGTATCTTCACATGAAGAACGAGCAAGAAACTTGCGTGTTGCTCGTTTAAAAAATGTTATTGTCAGTTTACATTTTTATGATCAAATGGTAGTTAGTAGTAGGGTCAAAATATTCAATACATTATAAGAATAAATCAATCATAGTTTTTTTATAGATGATAATGGAATGGTACACCCGCCTGCCCTAACGGTTTACACTGGTGGGGCACCAGTAGAGGATGATAGGATGAGCATAAGGTCAGGTCAGTTAGTCCATCGTGCCAATACACCAAGAATTTATCACGATGGTTTCCAGGGGGAATCGCTTGGAGGTCAACCTGACATGGTACTGCTAGCAATAAGATCATCAGTCTACATTACTAACAATCCCCTTTCACCTCAATTCATAGTTATTAGAGCAGATTAGTCAGTCTAGAAACCCTGTAATTACACTGTTTGGGAAACTACTCTCTGCTACCAAAATGTTAGGGAATTTACTATGTTTGTCACGTGCATGTATGGTTCTGCGGATTTCTTGGGTTTCAGGGTCTCGAAGGTATCTTCGCTAGCTTTCACACACTTTCACAGTAGGTTTCACAGTTCTAATTTATTTTAATTCACAACACAATGCGCGCGCGCGTCATAGCCGCCGTACAGTCAGTTCAGTACTAGGTGAGGGAGGGGAAGGCAAAGCGCGGGAACACAAACTAACGGACTCTAATATAATAATCTGTGCTTACGATGATACCGGGTAGATTTTGAACATACACAGATTATAAAAATGCGGCTCTGTGGCTGGCTGAAACAGTTATGAGAGAGGTACCCGCTCAAGACATTTAAACAAACTTTACCGCTGAAGTACAAATAAACCCCGGAATCATTTTTCTTTATTAAAATATGCATAAAACATGTATAATATCAGCTAACCGTCCTCTCGGTTTGATGGCGGCATTAAAACTTTTGCCCGAGATAAAGTCTTGAGAGACGGCGATTTGTGAGTGCTTTACAACGATTTCCCTGATGGCACCCCCTACTTGGGGTGTAATGACTGTTTGCTCCTACTTATAATGTTTCATATTATAGTTTACCTGAACAAATATCGTGACTTCGTCTGGCAAAATTCTGAATAATCAATAAATAGCTGTGCCCGCGGTTTCACTCGCTTTTCAATTTATAGTCTATATGATATTCTGATGTATAAGCTATGTTACTGTAAAGTTTCATCAAAATCCATTTAGTAGTTTTTGCGTGAAAGAGTAACAAACATACATCCATTCTCACAAACTTTCGTTTATAATATTAAAAAGATAGTATTAAATAATAACCCTGGACAGTTCAAATAGTGGCATCTACTCCCAAGGTAAGCACAGCTTGTGTTGTGGGTACTATACAACTGACACTAAATACTTATTTTCTTCTGTAAGTATATACACAATATATACAGAAACCACACATCTTAATACAAATAATCATAGTTATGAATAAAAATATTTGCATCGTGGGAGGAATCGAACCCGCGACCATCGGAAGTAAGTGTGCTAAACGACTAGACGAATAGAATAAATTAGAATAGAAATATCTTTCAAAGAAACTTATATTTAAGAACTCTTGAACTGTTATGCCATTTCTTGAATCTATTTTTGGGAGTCGTCGCAGTATGATATATTCTTCCATTGATCTCTATCAACCGTCATATCTGAGTTACTTTTTTATGCATATCATCGATGATACTGAGTATAATATGAGACAAACAACTATAAATATGTATATTGAACCGATGGTATGCAACTATTATGGTCAGAGAACAAGAAGGTACATTACTCCACGAATATTTAATAATATTTATAACGAAAACGATTGTTCAAGTAAAGAAATATTTAAATATAAATTGAAAAGATGGTTACTCGAAAAAATGCATTAGTATAATTTATATATTATAGTTAAATTGTAAATTACGTATAAGTAAAAATGAGTCCTTATTCGCCAACAAACTGCAAAGCAGTTTGGCGATAATTGTAAAAATAAATGATATATATGTAATACTTATAAATAAAATAAAAAAATAAAATATTCAATTCATCTTAATTCGTGATCCTCTCCCTTTCCTTCCATCCACGTTCACAATAATATAATACAAAGTCAGTAAATATGTATATCGGCGCTGGCATGATTCGGGAATTGTACTGTCCCAAAATCTTTGAAAATAAGAGTTTTAATTACAATTATATTTGCTATTACTGTGAAATGTAATTGTAGAATTAATATTTATAGAAACCATTATGATTAATTTGAATTAATAATTTAAGATCGAATAATAAGGCACTCAATTGTCTGCCATAATTTATTACAGAAATTAGGGCAGTCAATTGACTGGCAACATCGTTAACATAAACCCTAATTATAATAACAAAAACATGCAATTTAATAACTATCATTCTTAATAGTATTTTAGAGAATTATAACAAGCTCGACTTATTATAATTCTCAAGCAAGTAGGTAATTACGAAATCTATAATCTTAAAGAGTTGTTAAACTGTAAGCGAGTACATGAGCATTCGCTCTGATTGGTCAGCGCACTAGCGCCCTCTTGGAGGGGATAAGCAAAGTCTTCTTGTACTCGAACACGGTTGAGGTGAGCAGTTACTGAGTTACCATGTTACAGAGTGACTGAGTCACCGTGGAGCCAGGTTTGTACCTGGCTCACATGACTTTGTAAGTCATGTCTGCTTAGAAATAATAATAGTTAATTAAAAGAGCAACACACAAGTTTCTTGCTCATTCTTCTTGTGATGAATCTGCGTTCCGAATGAGTGGTAGAATCACAAATACAGTAACTATTCAAACGTGCTTACATTAAGTTTGTTTCATTTTAATAACCTACGAGTTAAACAATTGAGATATTCTTGACCATGTTGGTCGAGAATAACGCAAGTGACGTCAGAGTACCTAACATAACTATTCTAAAAGCCTACAAAACTGCATCTGCTACGACATGTATGTACGTAAGGGAGTAGGGGATTGTAAGTAATGAGGATCGTAGCCCCATTGTCAATATACCATGTCAGGTCGACCTTCACGCGATTCCCCTTGGAAACAATCATGATCAATTCTTATTAATTTGCCATGACGGCCTAACTGACCTGAGCTCATGTCCATCTTATCCTCCACTGATGCCCTGTTAGCGCAGGCGGGTGCACCATTCCATTATCATCTTTTTTTGAAAAAATACCCACATTTTTTTTTATATAACACGGGACAAACGAGCATGCGGCTCACCTGATGGTAAGTGATTACCGCCGCCCATGAGCACCCGCAACACCAGGGGAATTGCAAGTACGTTGTCGGCCTTTTAAAAAGGAATAAGCTCTTTTCTTGAAGGTTTCAATATCGTATCGGTTCGGAAATGCCATTGCTGGAAGGTGATTCCACAATGTGGTTGTGCGGGGCAAAAAGTTTCTAGAAAACCGTACTGTGGAAGACCGCCATTCATCCAGATGATCAGGATGGTATTTCAGTTTCTGGCGGGTGGTACGGTGTTGAAACTCGGCAGCTGGTATTAATCCGAACAATTCCTCAGAACACTCCCCGTGATATATGCGGTAGAAAATGCACAGAGATGCAATATCTCGCCGCAAAGCCAATGGGTCGAGTCTGTCACATAGACGTTGATTACCAATGATTCTGCTCGGTTCTGAATGCGGTCAAATGGAAGTAGCTGGTATTGTGGTGCTCCCGCCCAGAGATGAGTACAGTATTCCATATGCGGCCGGATCTGCGCCTTATATAATTGCAAGCGATGGGCCGCCGTGAAATACCGTCTCACTCTACTGAGCACACCAAGCTTTTTTGAGGCTATTTTAGCCTTGTCCTCCAAATGACCGCGAAACTGAACCTCACTGGATATATCAACGCCAAGGACCTCGAGATTTGGCTTCACATCAAGGAGAGTGTCTTGAAACTGAGGAGATACGATAAATGGATTCTTTTTAGCGGTAACATATTATGCAAATATGTATACATACATACAAAATTTCTCACCGTATCAACATTACTATATATAACAACATTATGTATAACGTCGATGAAGTGTTTAAATTAATTATACCAGATTGAATTAATTAATTGAACTCCTATCACTGAATCTGGCTCGCTTTAACATACCAGACATTATCGATTTAACTCCAAGTACTCTCGTAAT